TTGCAGCTGTGGTCTGTACTGGGAGAACAAAGACAGCTTAGTTCATCATCAGGTTCCTGCTTATCAGTTCGATGTCACACTGTTGGGAAAACAACCTGTGACTGAAATTGTAGCATTCATCTAGTTGCATGGCTTCAGCGGAAAAGTATCAGTCTTAACTCCAAGGCCATACTTCTACTTTCCCATGCTCATTAAAAAGAAACAGATATGACTCTGCAAGCATTCACACCAAGTGAGTTTCAGTAAATGATGATTAACATACTTATATAATGATAAAATACACATGTAGTAGCATACACATACAATTTTTCTTTCAGTACTTATGATAGGGAGGTCATACGTCCTCTTTTACCTGGACATGTCCTCTTTTGGGGAACTGTCCGGGGGGAGTTTATAAAATCCTTCAGATGTCCGAAACATGTATTCATTCATTATAAAACAGTGCAGTTCATTAGTGCTCTCTGCAGCCCTGCTCCTCCGTTCACTTCTAAGCAAAGCCACTGACATGACCCACGCATGCACTGTCTTTGAGAATTCGTCTAACTGAGTAAGAAGCGCATAAAAAACACTCGACCTGACCAAAAAACACCTCAAAATTTCACACACAAGTCCGCCCTGCATTGTAGTGTCCTCTTTTTGGGGATTCAGAATATGGTCACCCTGACATATGTCCTGTGTTAACATAAACACAATGCATGCCAGACTTAACAATGTATTATGTATTTGACTTGAATGATTATTTTTAGATTCTCACTGAAGGTGGCATGCATCTTTTTCTGTTATCAGAGACTCAATAAAATTTTGAGATTATGGTGAAAACCTATAGTCTACTTTTTTTTTTTAAATCAAAGAAAGGCTAAGGGAATCAGGATAAGGGAATTGTTAAAGAATTGAATTGATAAGCAGAATCGATAATGGCATCGATATCGATACAATATTATCAATTCCCATCCCTATTTGGGTGGGTATCTTCAAAGGAAAAGTGACGCTTGTCAAAGCTCCGTCCCTATTTGACATGCACTGTGTGAGTATTCAGGTCATACCAGACAGGTGGACAGTACAATTTGAGCTCATGAATTGTGTGCCTCTGTTGTGCATTGTACATGGTTCAGTTGTTCAGTGTGAGTTTGCACTCACCCATGACTTAAAAAATTGTACAGTGCACACCCAGCCCAAGTCAAACTCTTGACTGTCAGAAGGTTTGCCAAAGATTAAACATTACCTTTAGATTTATATCATATATTTATGGGTGTTCTGAACTAGAATTGGCTCTTATAAACCACAGAAGGATTTGAAGAACTATGCAACTCTCATTTTAAACACATTTTTAACACTGTTTGTGTTTTCTTCACGGCATGGGTTGTTAGCTGTGTGTCCAGCTCTCAACTTGGAGAAGTGGATTGCACTCTGTCAGGCTTCTACCCCAAGACCTGTCCAACTTGGGTGTCCCACCTGAAGACTAAAGCTCCTGCTGGTATAGCTCTTAGGGTCACTGAGGCACGCAAACCCCCTGACCACAATAAGGTGGCAATCCCTTAGGGGGAAAACTGAAAAATAAAAATGAAAAGTAAAATAAAATATCTTTCATCCAGATTTGAACATAACATTTATCTTAACTGGATGGCCCAATTTTCAAAAACATTTCAACCTTGAGGAAAGACTTGTCACTATAATCAATGTTCACAAAACTGAACGGTCGTCATATGAAAAGAAATCACCAAGCATCACAAGTTCTCAAACTAATTTGTAAGACGAAACAGATAAAGGGCAGAACATTTTATAACTTTTTCCTTGATTAGCTAATAACTCAAAGATATCCCTTCTCTCCACCTCACTATTCTCTCTCTCCACTTTCTCCACTCCACTATACAACAACACAAAAAATTTTCTCAAAGTTATAAAACTAAGCCCTCTTTGTATACAGTCTATGGCCGAGCCAGAGGCTGGGGCGGGGCTTCACATAGGGGTCTTGCAGTCACAGCTCACTTGTTATGAAGGTATTTTTGGTGCAAAAGGTTTGTGCATCTGTAACATGTAATTTGTAGTTGTGTAAAGTAAATCTGTATTAGTAAATGTGAAATCTGCACTCAATGAGTTGTGTACTTGCACTTTTTTTTTTACTTCTACAAGTACAACACAACATTTACACATTCACAAATTTTAATTACAGGTGCACAAATCTTATTTTACAAGTAACAGATTCAAACTCTGACACCCTCACATTTTTGCTCCTATTGTTGCAGCATATTTGGTGCAAAACATATTTGGGCTACTGTATAGAGCAATGTGAAGTCGTGGACAAAATTTGAATATGTGCAGATCTCTATGTGAATTTGTGCAAAAAATGTACAATAAGTCTTCACAAAAATAGCGCCGTTTTAAATACAAACCAATAATTACAGCCGCTGGAATCTTGCCCACGAGTCACAGATTGTGCTTCCTTCAGCTACAAATAATGGAGTCGCTGAGCTGTTTGGTGCAAAAGGCAGTTGCTGTTTTGAGATTGATTGCTTTTACAACCAATCACAGTTGATAGCATTTTGTCTCACAGCCAATCAGAGGAGTACTGTAGGATTACTGTACAGTGCAAGTGCAAATAAAAACTTTATTTAAACTACAGATTGATTCCAGAAACCAGCTGGCGATGTTACAGGCTAGCTAGCTGCAGTCTCCAGGGCTAATGCCGAGGCATTCGCCAGAGCTCCTGCCCAGCACGGTGAGACATTTTTGGTCACAGAGAACGCCACCACCCGGTCAAAATTATGGTTCTCTGACTTTTCAAAGTATCAAGGGAGGATTTATTTTATTCATTTTACAAAATAAATTTTTAAACAAGAAGCCTACTCATTATGGACAATGAATTTCAGCGTTTGTATACAGCGTTTCAATTTCAACAATGAAATATTCACATTCAGTCAAAGCCTTGTATGATTCTGTTGCAATTTTACAATTAAACTGTAGATGGAACCTTTAACCGTAAAAGTTGGAAAGTCTTGACTTTCTGGCGCTCTGCTTCAGTTGGGGGAAGCACTCCCTTGAGGAGAAAAATGTGTGGCTGTTATAAACTAAAGCGAGCTTGCTGATGCTAGTGTCGAAGCTGTAGCAAACCATGAGGGGCAAAGAATCATAGAAATCTATAAGAAACTCTCACTCTCCGTGTAGAGAGTGTTGTCTCCTCTGATTGGCTGCGAGACGAAATGCTATCACCTCTGATTGGTTGCAAAAGCCGTCAATCTCAGATCAGCAACCGCCTTTTGCACCAAACAGCTCAGTGACTCAATTTATTGTAGCTGTAGGGAGTACAATCTGTGACTTGTGGGAAAGATTCCAGCGTTTGTAATTATTGATTTGTATTTTTGTTTTAAAACAACTCAACTAATTTTATGAAAGCCTATTGTACATAAATTTAAAAAAAATTTGCACAAGTTCACATAAAGATCTTCACATATTCAAATTTTGTTCACAACTTCACCTCACTCCATACAGGTGCACAAATATGTTTTGCACCAAATATGCTGCAACAATTGGAGCAAAAATGTGAGCATGCCAGAGTTTGAATCTGTGACTTGTAAAATAAGATTAGTGAACCTGTGAAGATTTGTGAATGTGGAAATGTGTTGTACTTGTGGAAATAAAAAAAAATTACAGGTACAACACAAAAAATCTACAAGAACACAACTCAGAGTGTGGATTTCACATTTACTAATAGACATACACAATCACTGTACAGACTGCAAATTACATGTGACAGATGCACAAACCTTTTGCACCAAAAATACCTTCATAACACGGAGATGAGCGGAGGCTATTAATCAACTTGTGCTTTTTCAGCGGATTTTCCACTTCTAAAAATTTGAGGGGGCAGGCCATTTGTTTGAGGGGGCGTTGCCCCCTCTTGCCCCAGCATAGAGCCGGCCCCGCCAACAAGGCAAATTCAAAAGCACAAGAGAAATATGCCCCACAAACACATCTGCTCTTGCAGATTTTGCGGTTGTTCTTATTAGTCCTTGAGCCGGACAAAATGTCGGTACCACTTGGGTGGGCAAAACCTTACATATACTAAATTGTTTTTAGGGTCAATATAAGTAAATTAAAATATGATAGACTTTTCATAGGGGTAGCTTTTTATATTTTTTCTCATTTTGTTATTTTCCTCAATAGGCAAATTTTTGTTAACTCCAAAAGCAACACAGAAAGTCAAAAGTACATTAAAAGTCATACTCTTTTTGGGTCACACTGCTCTTTTCTACAAATGAATCAAACCTGTGTCTAATTAAATGAGTTGATGAAGTGGGTGTGGCCCAATTTGATGGTGGAGCAGTTCTTTCAGGTATCATAGTTTAAAAGCAGGCTCAAGACCCACCTATTTAATTTGGCTTTTAACTAATGTCTTATTTTTTAATCTATATGTTTATCCTATTTCTATCTTATTTTATTTCATTTATATATTTTAAGTCCTCATTTTACATGTTATGTTTATTCTATGTGTTCACTTATTTTTAAAATGTTATTTTAGTTTTTAATCAGTATTTTATAATTTTATCTAGTTTTATGTTTTTAGCTGATTTAGTTAATGTTTTTATTGCCCCTCTCCAGTGTTTCCTCAGTGGGGGCCACCTGCACTGCACTTCAAAATTAGCTTTCTTTCATTTTAACCTCTCATTTAGGTGTGTTTGAACTATTGGCTAGCCATAGAGACTCGTAATAACCCCCTAAGTAGTATTTCAAGTAATTTATCTAATACAGGTGTGTATATATAAGCTTCAATTAGCCAATTGTCAGGTCTAAATCAAGGTCTAAATTAAGGATATTTTTTGACATAGAAGTAGAAGTAAAGTAAATGCAGACTAATAGCATTATAATAACACAACCTTAATATGACACTGACATATTTTAAATGCATGCACTCAATATACAATCATCCTGGCTGGTGCAGGGCAAGAAGACATTAGCAACAAAATAAGATCTACTGATGTATACACTCTTTACAATCATCTGAGAAAAACTCCATTCCTCCACCAAGAACTTGATGAGACTGGCTTTGTTGGCAGGGCTGCAGAGAAGTTTCCTCCACTGCTGAATATTGTGGCCAGAAACAATGTTTCTGAACTGGATCCCCATGTCTGCACCTCTGTTTAGTCTTTCTGAATTTTTGATTGACATGTCCTTGTAAACGTCAAAGACAACATCAATCCTTTCACTATCACCACCTTCATGCAGGACCTTGGCTAAAGTTGAGTCCAGCCAGCTTCCACCATGTCAGGATTGCGTATTAATGCAACCGATTCATGCCAACTACCAGGCTGCTATCTGGAGACGGTCTCCAAGCCCCAAGGACCATGGGTGGACCATAAATGACGAAGGGCAGCTGGAAATACAGTGGATGCGTGGTTCCCCAGCACCAGATGCGGTCTTGCAGTTGCTATCCTGCAAGTGTGTGAGGACATGCAAACCACCAGACTGCACCTGTCTCAGCAATGGGCTGAAGTGCACAAACATGTGCAAATTACAAACTTGTGCCAACCAATACAGTGAGGAAGAGCCCCTCGCACACTGGCAGATTCAGATGTAGAATAAGATACAGATACTGATGTCGGTTATTGATGTTGATTAATAAATGATGACCAAAAGGAGCTATGTTAACAGACCCACTGTGACTCAGTGACAGTATTATGTACTAAGCCAAAACTTGGCAGTCATATTTGCTGTCACTGTTCCTTATGGAAAGAATAGGACTTTGAATAGGAATTTGAGTTTTTCTTAGATGATTGTATAGAGTGTATACATGAGTAGATCTTATTTTGTTGCTAATGTCTTCTTGCCCTGCACCAGCCAGGATGATTGTATATTGAGTGCCTGCATTTAAAATATGTCAGTGTCATATTAAAGTTGTGTTATTATAATGCCATTAGTCTGCATTTATTTTACTTCTACTTCTATGTCAAAAAATATCCTTAATTTAGACCTTGATTTAAACCTGACAATTGGCTAATTGAAGCTTATATATACACACCTGTATTAGATAAATTACTTGAAATACTACGTAGGGGGTTATTACAAGTCTCTATGGCTAGCCAATAGTTCAAACACACCTAAATGAGAGGTTAAAATGAAAGAAAGCTAATTTTGAAGGAAGGCGATTTTTCGTTTTTGAACAGCTGCACTCTATTTCTTTAATGAGTGATAACTACAATAAAGCTACCAGTTACCAAGGTCTATCATATAAAAACTTATTGTAGGGATGTATAGCAACAAAAAAAATCACAACTAGAATTTGCCCACCCAGGTGGTACCGATATGTGAAATTTTGGTTCTTGGCTCAAGTACTAACAGGGTGAGATAAAGGACCTTGCAGAAACTTATAATTTTCACTTACACTACTTTTCAATACTTTTGAGCCTGATCTGGCTCCATAACCATCCGATGGTCACTTACCGGTAGTGTGCATCCTGTCATGCATTGCGTCTTGCCATGTAGTGTCCGAAACCGCTGGTGATTGAGTTCACTACATAGTCAACTATATAGTAAAATAGGGGTTAGGGATTGAGTGATTCATTTCGGACACAGTCTTTGCCAATCAAAGATGATCCTCCCACCCTAGTGATGATGTCACCTACTTAAGCTCTTCTAATACACACCCATTATAAAGCCTAAAAATTGCTGAAAACTTTGTGATGCTTAAAGCTGAATTGTGAAAAAAAACTGTAGAAGATAGCAAAAAAAGTGATACATTATACTTCGGTGAGAAAATTGTGAACATTTTAAAGCAAAAATGGGGCAAACATGGCTGAAGAAAAATAATGATGACTAGAAAATTCCAGGGAAATTTTGATATGTGCATGCCCGCTTGCAAATTTGCTGCTGCTTGCTGCTGATTTACTCACATTTAGGCCATGTTTTGGCCATGTTTTGAGTGGAGATACATGAGGGCATTAATGCATTAAGGGCTACTTCCTGTTTGAGGATGGTGGGGACTTCCAAGATGGTGGGACATGTTTTTAGAGTGGGGTCACGAGGGGACATGCCAAATATGGTTCTGATATGTCAAAGCGTTGATGATTTAGGGCCTTTGACATGAATCTGACTTGACACTCAAGGCAATCTGTCTGTCTCTGTGTTGTGGTGTCTGGAAGACAGCTGTCAATCAAGACCAGGTGGGCGGGGCCTGTGTTCTAAGTGGGAATTGTCTCCATGGTGACAGTGCACCTGCAGCTCACCCGTGACACAGACTTTGGCTGTGTCTCATTTCAGAGACCGCATCGGGATAAGCGCGCTTAAGCTTAAGCACGCTTATCCCGATTATCCCGATGTTATGTGCCATTATGCGCTGTTATGTACCCTTCCTGTGTCCCATTTCAGAGACTGCAACCGTCGAACGGCGCATTTGAAGCGTGCGTGAGGTCATCACGCGGCACGAATGGTGTCCCGTTTGGCACAAAATGCTAAGCGCACTTTAAATTCGGTCTCAAAACCACACTGCCCCGCCCCTTTTTCAAGCGTGCATTTATGCACGCTTTCGTGCCGTTGGTATCCCAGAATTCTTTACTTGCCGCTGCACAGCTGCGCATTTTGGGTGAGAGGCTGGACTCACTTGGAGACGCAGCGCGTCTTCAAAGAAAATACAAGAAAACCAAAAACAGCAGACAGTCAGCTCATGCTGCATGAGCGCATGATCTCTGAACTCACTAAAATCTACAAATCAAACATTACAGTGTTTAGAGACAACTGATCCGCTCTGCTACAACAATCAAAAACATTAGAAATAAGAAAGCTGACAAAACTACAGCAGAGTATCAGGACAACATAGAGTCTTTTTTTTTTCTTTTAAGATTAAGAGATTAAGGTTTTACATTTAGTAAAATAAAGTCATAAAGTAAATAAAGTCATAAAGTTGCTTTTGTGGAGGGGAAATGACTGAAGCTGGTCATCTGCAGGGTTATCGATGGATGTATCAGCGGGTCATTCAGAGAGTTTTTGTGGTTTCTGAAGAAACAATCCAACTGATGATCAACATTTGTGATCCAGAGGGAGTCGAGCTCCGACGAGCACCACGTCTCTGACACCGGTGGTAACCTACACCTGTAGAGACACCAACACCTTATTATGGCATATGGATTCATATCATAAACTAAAGCTCAATGTCATTCATGGAAATTTACGGCTGCATAAACCGATATATCCTCAGCATATCCATTTCTGCCTCCACAAAAGCAGCGATTTACTTCAAGTACACCTGTTTTTTTTCCCTGTGGAAAAGATGTATTTCTCATATATTCTTTTTTAAGTCTTTATACTTATGACAATGTGATGCTGATGTGCCAGAGGATGAAGTATCTCCTTGTTTGTGAAACCTATACTGAAGCACAGTTCCTTCAAATGCTTCATGGCCCTAATTTTAACAAATCTCCTCTGAAATAACAGGTTACGACTTTATTCTCAAAAATTAATGACTTTATTCTCGTAAATTCACGACTTAAATCTCGAAGTCTTTTAAAAAATTCTCAATATAACCCTCATACTCCTTCATACAAAACAATCATTGGATGAATTTTGTGGGAATTATCTGTGCTTGTATGTATCCACTATTTTGTGTCTGTGCAAGGTTGCACAGTTAAAACAATAAATGCTGCGCTCCGCGGGTTTTCTCTAAGTCAGTCATGACGCGAGCCCGAGGGCAGGGACATTTGGCGACTCAACCAGGAAGTCCTCCGAAGGTCGCCAAATGTCCCCGCCCTCAGGCTCACATGGATTGGAAAAAACTCTTGACTGTGAGCGATTGCTTGAATACAGCTATGACATATTAGAAGGACAAGTTGCTACGCTTTATGGTTTAGACAGGAGCGTGAGTTGTTCCGAGAAAATGAGCAACAGTCTGATGTGGAGCATTTGTTTACTTTTTGAATGGAGGTGGATGGGGGTGAAACAGGTACCTCCTCCTGAACAAAAACCTCGTAGCTTGAAAAGTGAGCATTTCACAGCTTAAAAATCCACATTTTCTGTCTGGCTGGTAGATTTCCTACGTTTTGATTTGTGTGTGTGTTGAGTGAAAATTGTGGCAATGGCAGCGATTTAGAAATTAAAAATTTAGAAATTACACGTTCAATATAATGGCGTGAGAGTGGTTGTGTGATAAATTGTGTAGTTTTTGTAAGTGTGTGAGGAAGATTAGATCTTGGGCGGCCGCTTATAAAATGGAAAATCAGTAGAAAAAGTATAGGATATTTACTGACAGGCCGTTTTAGGTTCTTGTTAATAGCAGTGAATGAGAGTTGATAATAAAGAAAGAAAGAAATGACCGAAGGCAGCTTTCGAAATCACCACACCCGCTCCACAGACCTACTCGTTAACCATTTAGCCAAACTGCTGACTCACTCTTACCACAGCCACGGAGCGGTATTAATTGTGCGTGTGCATGCCTGAGCACGCACATGCTTTTGTCATGCGTGCCTGTGTTTGTGCCTGTGTGTGTGTGTGTGTGTGTGTGTGTGTGGGGATGGGAGGGGCACTGTGTTGGCGTGATCGTGGCTGTGTAATGAATTGTGTAGTTTTTGTAATGTGAGTGTGAGGATGATCAGATCTAGGTTGGCCACTTAGGAAATTGAAAATCTGCAGAAAAAAAGCATAACATATATACTGACAGGCTATTCCTTGTCCTTCTGAATGGCAATCAATGAGATTTGATAGTAAGGAAATTATCATATAACCGGCATCGGGTTTCGAACCCGTGACTCCCGCGTCACCATCTTGTGCGTTGACCATTTGGCTATGGAAAAATGAATAAATGTGTTTTTCATGGTTGTTTGTAAGCAGTACAGTTGTATTTAGAAATATTAATGTTATTATTTAATAACTCACATACTGGACATGGAAAAATATTGATATGTGTCATTGGTGGTTGTGTTTATATGCAATATTGTTTGTACATGTCAATTGTGTATTTCATAGTGAATGTAATTGGAATTTGTGATAACGTGATGTGGAACACCAGGAAATTAATACATGAACATAAAGTATTGTCAGCTTTACATTGGTATGCTAAAATCATTGATATACGTCTAGATAACATGTGTAGTGTAATACTACAATTGATGTGAATGACTATAGGTGAATGACTGCATTTATAATAACTTGTACTGAGAGAATACATATGAATACTGCTGTGCTTGTACTGTATAACATAGAACAATGTTATGACAAGAGGACTGGAGAAATTATTGAAAACTGTAGTGACAACTTATGAGATTGTCAAAAAGAAAAGATGTAAAACAACAGTAACATATGACATTGGAGATGCCATGTGACCCACAGTTATTGCTTGCATATGTAGTATATTCCTACAAACCTCCAAATAAATAGTGTTTTCCTGTATCCTAAACTTTCCTGCATTAGAAAAGTACATGTTTTAGAATCAGTTATTAGGTGTATGGAAGTGTATTCTTATGAAGACTGAAGACTTGAAAAAAATAGTGTTTTTCCTTTTTCTAATCGTTCCTACATGGAAGAAATCCATTTAGTAGAAACAGTTATCATGTTCATTGAAGGAAATAACACTAAGCAAATACAGTGTTTCCAAAGAGTGTGTGTCTGTGTGTTGGGTGGCTGCATGTGTCCCTCACACAGAGTATGTAAATTTTCATGTATGTTAAAATGGTAAATATATGTGCCAGCTGCGTAGAATTTTTTATGCTTATTGATGAAATGCAATCATTTATAAGGCAAATGATTAGGTGACATTAAATAGGTATGATGTCTATACAGTGATTGCCTGTGTGTGTGTGTGTGTGTGTGTGTGTGTGTGTGTGTGTGTGTGTGTGTGTGTGTGCGTGCGTGCGTGCGTGTGTGCGTGCGTGTATGTGTGCGTGTGTGTGCTAGTGTCTGTGTGTGGATAGTGTTGTGCGTGTGTGTGAGAGTTCATTTCAAAGAGACAAAGTTGCTAATGTTCAGCAGGACCCCCAGACTGGATAAACATTCACCCTCTCTTTGCCACCTCAACCTTAAGGGCAACTGATAAGAACATGTGAACTCAACTCAAGAGTGCACCAGGAGCACTCATCCTTGAAACAGACCCCCAGCCATAAATCTTCAGAGTGGCTGGTTTTTCCTGTGGCTTTCTTTAGGTGCAGAGTAAAGCGAATAACTGCAAATGGTTCAATTTCAGGTTAAATGGACACTTCACCAGGATTTTCTATCTGTACGCCACATCAGCAGGGAAACAGTCTTTGTCCCATTTGTCTAGCATGTTGATAAGCCAAACTGCTAACTTCACAAATTTATTCCAGGTTTTCCATGGACCAAGAGCTTCTCCTTGTGGTGTTTTCTGGATGTGGTTTGGTCAGAATCCAAATACATATTCCTTGAATTTAATTATGTTGCATTTTATATACTTTGTAGCTTAGTGAATGGTATTTCCAAAATATTAGAAGCTGTAACTGGAAACTCTTTATACATGAGTTACGAGTGTTTTGAACGTTTTAAATGCTATGTTTTGTCAACTTCACCAGAATATATATTTTAATCAATTACTAGTGTAGGTTGACAAGATTATATCCAAATTTAGTGTTATCACTCGTGTTTCTTAACCTTAATAGTGTTTTTGTTGGAAAAGATAATTTGATTTTTATCTCTTGAACTCTTAAAGAGCTTGTTAATCCTCAGGTTCTAAAATACCAGAAGAACAGGTTATTAAAGTTTCCTTTACATTTAATGTTATGGTTTGATGCATCTGCTAATAGGAAACAATGGGTGAAATTATATTATATGTAACTTGATCAACTGCATAATCATAGTGAGTGAGGAAAATAGATCTAACTCAGTTATTAATCCTGCAAGTTAAAATTGATTTGCCCACCAGCCTGATCAGGCCACGCTGTGAACAATGGGTGTATCAGCTTACACCCCTCTTTGGTTCACACCCCACATGAATGGGATAAAAGTGCCAATCGTACGCCATTTGCGCTCTTATCATGTCTTACCTCTTACACTTTTTTTTTTCCTTGTGTTTATCCCTTGTTGGCTTTTTTGTCCTCATCTTCATTGTTTTGTATATCTTTTTCCGCATTTTTATTCGACTCAAGTTTTCAGACTTTTACCAGAAACTTGAATGAAACCACCCAAGTTTCTTTACATCATAAGTAATTAGCTGCACGCATAGGGCACCAAAGTCTAAGTTTGTTCTTCTTTTTAGTTCGCCAAAGTGACTCCTTATGATAACATCGGCTGGCCAGCGAAATTATTTTCTTGACTTATTGGAACAAATTAATCTGCAAAAGAGCTAACTCTGAACACCCAACGGACCGACCCACATCATCTGCCGAGCGAGAGGAGCGCTGAAGGATACATGGGGCGCTGGTGGAGTGTGCTTGTGTGTGACATAAGTTTCACTGTTCAGCTAATGACTGCGAGACAAACCTGCCAAAACCACCTGTAGCCTTGACCTTCGGTTGACCCACTCTAAGAGTGTCTGCTGAGAATCCTCATCAAATATGTAGGCAAACCTCTCGACTCTCTGAAGAACAGGGTTGATGCTTACATTCTCAAATATAAATTAGTTTTTCTCCAAATTTCCCCTTCCAAAATTCATCCTCATAACACTGTTAACGTAGGTTACATTTTCCTCAATAATTCACTCACTGTCATTTACCTCCAGTCTTAACTCAATTCCAACCATTCCTCCATTTATCTCTGAAGTGTTCCCATATTCTCATTATTTGATCACCATTTATTGAATATATGTTATCACCTAGCATTTGTCAATAAAGTATCCATTTATTTTTAAGTTGTTGTCTCTTAGTGGTCCTTCCAGAAGTGAAGTCCCTGAAATAAGAATCAGGCCTCAGATGTGAGATTGATTTAAATCTGTTTGAGATTGATTCAATGTTTAATTACTTAATTAAACCTTGTTTTCTCTGTTTTTCCCACCTGTAAGGGTGGGTGGTGCCCCTTTCAACGAGTGCATAAATGTCATAATGTAATCTTATTATTTTAGGACATTTATTATGAATTCAAATTGCTACAAATATTGACAGACAGGTTGACTGCTTTACTGAATACATCAACTTCTGTATTGACAGTTATACTGACAAAGACTGTTCGCTGTTTCCCCAACAACAAACCCTTGATCACAAGTGACATAAAAGCAATCCTTAAAGTTCACCTCTTGAATATTTGACAGCTTGAAGTGTATACCAGTCATTCAAAAAGACTGGCTACATCCATGATGCTATGAGCTATGTGCTAATGCTCAGTTTGTAGAGCTAATAGACTTACAGCTTGGTTTAGGTTAATTCAATTCACCATCTATCAATCAATATCATAACCCAGTTATAACCCATCTGTGTCTTTTTAACGGTTCATTACAAATCCTCCCTAAAACATATTAATGTCTAAGATGACCATGTATACTAGGTTTTAATGTGTGTGGAATAATGAATCTGTACACAACTTTAACCCTAATATTTACCTTTTAGAAGTAAAATCCTCTCACACCTTTGAATCTAAAATTGTTGATTTTTACAAACACTTAGAGCATATTTTCACTCTCTTTCCAACCTGTATCCAGAGCTAATTTGGACATATTGATTTTGTGTTATTGGCCACACATTTACACCCAAAACTCACAAAAGTGACATTTTGATTTATCTAACTCTCTGAAGTGAATCATTGATTTAAAGGATTTCATGAGACCTGTTTGTTTCATTTGAAAGAGTAGAAGTATTCCTTAATAACTCCCTGAATAATGAGGGTTTCCTGATACAAAAAAAAGGAGTATTCGACAAAACTCTAGTTCTTTCATTTATGTTCTGTCCTCAGGTTAAAAGTAAAAGAAAAGGAAATATGTATTCAAATTGTTTTTGGTACAAATGATTCTTTGATAACATTCTGTTAATGGCAAAAGAAAAGAGATGAGTATTTTGTACTGTAAAGGTGAGCCTTTATTTTGGCATGAGTTTTTGTTTACATCTGAGCGATCCCATGAGCCTCCGGTCCATGATGAACTTACCAGAACGTAAGATGCACGTTAGTTGCTGTTTGTAATGAGTTCCAGTCGGATGTTTCTTTCCCGAGTCTTGTTTCGCTCACACACCCATGGCAGCAATGTCTGTAAGTTATAATGATATGCATTTTGTACTTGTATGAAGTTAAGCTTTATGAGCATAGTTGGTAACGTTTACTCGAATGTGTATTAGTGACCACATTACTTTGCTAACGTTCGTTTCCTTGCTAATAAGCTAAGCGATACTTGCTAGTCACTTTAGTTATAGGCTAACTTGACTGTTGCTTGTGTAATACGGTAATGTCAGGCTCCTAAGTTTCGTCTGTATTTTGTTTATTTCAGTTTTACACGATTTTCACCTGCTATACTGGAAAATAAAGAAGCAAGGCGCTCGCTTCCTGGCTCGTAGAAAACGAGTTTGGCTTGCTGTGGAGTCTGTGTTCACGCACGTAGCTTACACACAGATAGGAACAGTACAGTAAAAAGACAACCAGCGTGGGTGCAACGGATAGCACAAGAACTCCAGCATGGCGTCAGAATCCAAAACCACAGATGAAATGAAGCATGATGCAAGCCCGCCACCACGTTCATCGTCTGCAAAGCCTTCGGTTCACTCAAGAGCCAGCTCAAAACGCTCGTCCTCTTCAAGATCTTCTGTCATGGAGGCTGCCGCCAAAGCAAGGGCTACAGCTGAAGCAGCGCTCACCAAGGCATCTTATGCTAAGCGACAGTTAGAAATGAAAAAGGAGAGAGCTAAGCTAGATTTACAAAAGGCTGCATTAGAAGCAGATTTGGAGGCGTTGGCATATGAAAGGGAAGCAGAGGCAGCGCGGGTCGAAGCTGAAGTCTTAGAAGCAGCTGTAGCTATGGGGAATGACGATGTACAAAGCCTAAGAAGTGTGGTTTCGCCCAAGTGATACGACAGCGCACTGAAGAGTATGTGCTATGCCAGTCACAGGTTAGCGTACAGTCTCCTGCCTTACCGCATCACCATGAAATGCAGCACACGGTGAACAGTCCTCCATGTCAGTCAGCACCTGGAACTGTAGAGGTAAAGCCCCCACTCATAGACTTCAGACCCTCAGCACATGAGCCCGTACATGCAGCTGAACAATCCCCCGCACCAAGACCGTCACACAGTCCGCACAGACAACATGATCAGCCTCCTCCTCTTCGCCCCGACTCCCCACCCATGATAGACTTCGCCAAGTTCCTAGCGCGCAGAGAATTAGTGACCACTGGCCTTACCAAGTTCGACGACTCACCAGAGAACTTCAGAGCATGGCAGTCGTCATTCTTCAATGCAACACAGGGCTTAGGGCTCTCCTATAGTGAAGAGTTAGACCTCCTCATGAAGTGGCTGGGTAAAGAGTCATCAGAGCATGTGAAAAGGATTCGCGCTGTTCATGTCACTAACCCCAGGGCTGCCCTCCATCTGTCCTGGCAGAGACTGCAGGAATGCTACGGCACGCCAGAGATGGTAGAGAACGCCCTGTTCAAAAGACTAGATAGCTTTCCCCGTCTGTCTGCCAAAGACAATGTGAAACTGAGAGAGCTCAGTGATCTCCTTATGGAGCTGCTGGCAGCTAAGGACGACGGTTACCTCCCCGGGCTGGCCTACCTCGATACTCCTCGTGGGATAAAGCCCATAGTCGAGAAGTTGCCCCCTGGCCTGCAGGAAAAATGGCTCAACACGGGCTCCCGCTTCAAGGAGCAGCACAGAGTAACTTTTCCTCCCTTTTCGTTCTTCGTGGACTTCATCAACATCCAGGCTAAAGCCCGCAATGACCCAAGTTTCGCCCTGTCAAGCAACAGCCAGGCATACAGCAAAGGTGAGAGAACTCCATTAAAGCAAAGTGGTTTCAAGACTGCTGTATCTGTACACAAGACAGACGTGTCTGCCACCGTTGACGCAGACACCACAAGCGCCACAGACATTGAAAAGAAAGACATTGATCCAGCTCGATATTGCCCTGTGCACAAGAAAACACATCCATTAGAAAAATGTAGGTCATTCAGAATGAAAACATTGCAAGAACGCAAAGACATTCTTAAAGAACATAAACGCTGTTATAAATGCTGTGCACCAAACCACCTCGCCAAGGACTGCCAGACGACACTGAAATGCGGTGAGTGTGAGAGCGAAAGACACTGCTCTGCAATGCATCCCGACACCTCTCAGCCACCGCCTCCGTCGTCTGCCCAACCAGGTGCAGAACCACAGCCAGCCAGTTCTGCCCTGGAAGTGAGATCGCAGTGCACCAAGGTCTGCGGCCTAAGCAGTCTCCCGCGCTCCTGCTCAAAGGTATGCCTGACACGCGTCTTCCCTCAAGGTCAACCAGAGCTCGGCATCAAGATATATGTCATACTCGACGATCAAAGTAACCGCTCCTTGGCACGCTCTGAATTTTTCCAGCTGTTTGGGGTCAACAGCAGCCTGTCACCATATCTGATGAGAACATGCGCCGGCACGACTGAGATGACCGGAAGAAAAGCAGTTGGCTTTCAAATCGAAGCAGTGAATGGAGGTGTGTGCCTTGATCTCCCACCACTCATTGAGTGCAACGAAATATTGACCAACAAGTCTGAAATCCCGACACCAGAGGTCGCCCTCGCACACCCTCACCTCAGACACATCGCTCCGCACATTCCCAAGCTGGATCCTGATGCCCAGATGATGATCTTGCTAGGGAGAGACATGATACGTGTGCACAAGGTGAGAGAGCAAGTCAACGGGCCCCACGACGCGCCCTTTGCCCAGCGTCTAGATTTAGGCTGGGTGATAATAGGCGAAGTGTGTCTTGACAACGCTCACAAGCCAACCGTGAACACCTTCAGAACCCACATTCTCCAGAATGGACGTCCATCACTCCTCACTCCTTGCCACAATAGCATCTGCGTGAAAGAAAGACTGAGCTACGGCGGGGAGCACAGGTATGGCCACTCTGCACACATGACAAAGCCTAAGCCAGCCGAAGAACAGCTCGGGCTCACAGTCTTCCAGAGAACAGACAATGACAATAAGAGTGCCATGTCCTTTGAAGATGAACTGTTTTTGAACATTATGGAAAAGGAAGTCCATCAGGATAAAGAGAATAACTGGGTAGCTCCGTTGCCATTCAAGTCTCCTCGTCCGCCGCTCCCCAACAACAGAGAGCAAGCTCTGTCCCGCCTCAGTTCTTTGAGACGCACGCTGAACAAGAATGCTGAGATGAAGCAGCAATTCTCCTCCTTCATGGAAAAGCTGTTCGAGAACAAGCATGCAGAGAGGGCACCGCCCATCCAAGAGAAACAGGAATGCTGGTACCTGCCCATCTTCGGGGTGTACCATCCTCAAAAGCCAGGGCAGATACGAGTCGTGTTTGACTCAAGCGCCCAACAGCATGGTGTCTCCCTCAACTCAGTGCTGCTCACAGGCCCTGACCTAAACAACTCTCTCCTGGGCGTGCTGATACGGTTTAGGAAGGACCTCATAGCAGTCACTGCTGATATCCAACAGATGTTTTATGGATTCCTGGTGCGACACGACCACAGAGACTATCTGCGATTCCTGTGGCATGAAGACAATGACTTCTCAAAGGAAATTCAAGAATATCGCATGCGCGTGCATGTCTTTGGCAATAGCCCGTCCCCGGCGGTTGCCATCTACGGCCTGCGACGAGCTGCTCAGAGAGGTGAGCTTAAGTATGGCGCAGACACTAAGCAGTTTGTTGATAGGCACTTTTACGTGGACGACGGGCTAGTCTCCCTGCCCACAGAGTCAGCAGCCATTGACCTAATGAAGCGAACATGTGCATCACTCGCAGAGTCCAACTTGAAACTGCACAAAATCGCCTCAAACAGTGTCGCTGTGATGAAAGCCTTCGAGCCTGAAGAACTGGCCACAGGCATCAAAGACTTAGGCCTGGACGATGAGACCCTGCCTGCGCAGAGGAGCTTAGGCCTATGCTGGGACCTCAGCACAGACATGTTCACCTTCAAGGTCGCCGTCGCCGACAAGCCTTACACCCGGCGTGGGGTGCTGTCAGTCATTAACAGCATCTTTGATCCCCTGGGTCTGGCAGCGCCAGTGACCATCAGAGGCAGACTGTTGCTACGAGAGCTGTCCAGCGGAGTTCAGGACTGGGACACTCCTCTGCCTGATGACAAGGTGAGCAGATGGGAAGAGTGGAAAGCCTCACTTGAGAAGCTGAGTAACCTCCATGTCCCTCGCTGTTATGTAAAGATGTCACTCTCAAAAGCCAAATACACAGAACTGTGCCTTTTTTCTGATGCCTCGAACTGGGCTATAGGGGCAGTAGCCTACTTGAGGGCTGTCACTGAAGAGGGCCGTTGTGAGGTCGGATTTGTGCTGGGAAAGGCTAAGCTGTCACCACAGCCTGAACCCACAATTCCACGCCTCGAGCTCTGTGGAGCTGTTCTGGCGACTGAGATGGCAGAGCTGATTTTAGACGAACTGGACTTCAAGCCAGACGCTGTTAAATTCTACTGCGACAGCAAAGTGGTCCTCGGATACATCTGTAATGATTCAAAGCGCTTCTATGTGTACGTGCACAATCGCGTGCATCGTATACGCCAGACAACGTCCCCAGATCAGTGGCATTACGTACCTTCAGCACAGAACCCAGCGGACTTAGCCACCAGATCTGTAGCAGCATCACAGCTCATGGACACGATGTGGTTTAAAGGGCCCGACTTCCTCTACAAGCCTCCGGAGATGGAGAAACGTGAGCACTTCGAGCTGATAGATCCTGAAACAGATGTGGAAGTTAGACCACAAGTGACTGCTCTAGCTACCCACCTTGAAACTAAGAGACTTACCTCTGAGAGATTCCAGCGCTTTTCCACATGGAAGTCTCTGCTGAGAGCCGTTTCCTACTTGAAACATCAGGTGCGTTCGCACAAACCAGACACAACAGATACACCACAGCACACATGCAAAGGCTGGCATCAGTGCAGTGGGCCTCGCACTCCTGAGGAGCGCGCAGCAGCGAAGATGCTCATACTAGAGACTGTTCAGAGAGATGCATATCCAGATGAATACGCTGCTCTTCAGGCAAACATAGAAGTCTCTAGCTCGAGTCAGCTCTTGACCCTTGACCCCTACATGAGTGATGGTCTGCTGCGGGTCGGAGGCCGTCTCAGACATGCTTCTCTTGACACTGAGGTAAAACACCCAATCATCCTCCCTAAGCATAACCATGTAACCAAGCTGCTTGTAGAACACTATCATGCTGAAGTGAAACACCAGGGGCGGCAGTTCACAGAAGGGGCTATCAGAGCAGCTGGACTGTGGATTGTCGGTGGCAAGAGACTGGTGAGTTCTACACTTCATCATTGTGTGACATGCCGTAAGCTCAGAGGGAAGCTGGAAGTACAGAAAATGGCTGACCTCCCTCCAGAGCGGCTCGACACCCCCCACCCTTCACATACATAGGGCTGGACGTATTTGGACCGTGGGCAGTGATGACCCGACGCACTCGAGGAGGTGCAGCGCAGAGCAAAAGGTGGGCCATTCTGTTCACGTGCATGAACACCAGGGGGGTACACATTGAAGTTATAGAATCAATGGATGCCACAAGCTGTATTAATGCATTGCGAAGATTCTTTGCCATCAGAGGCCCGGCAAAGCAGCTCAGATCAGACAGAGGGACGAACTTCATAGCCGCCAGTGCAGAGCTGGGCATGGACCGTCCTGAGGAAAAGCAGACTGAAATTCTGAGTTATCTCCATAGTAAAGACTGCACATGGGAGTTCAATCCACCACACGCCTCCCACATGGGGGGAGTGTGGGAGCGTATGATTGGGGTCACACGCAGAATTCTAGACTCTATGCTTTTGCAAAACAAGCATACTCACCTGACGCACGAGGTACTGTGTACTTTGATGGCGGAGATATCAGCAATCATCAACGCAC